TGGGGGTTTCAGCACCCCCCCCCCTTTTTAAAAAATTAAATTTTTTAGAGGCAGGTGACCCTGGGGGTTTTAGGGTCTTTAATTTCTTTTCTTCGTCTTCCCCTTTTTCCCTTCTTCTCCTTCTTTCCTTTTCTCCTTTTTCTTTCTCTATTCTGCCCCCCTTTCTACCGCTTCGGTGGCAAGGAAGATAAGGCATCGCGTCTCGTTTCACCAGGACAACAGAAACATCGTGATTTGTTGAGTTTCTCTGATGTTATCTGTCCATATTGTTTTTGGTCTACCTCGTGATCTACGTCCTTCTTCTATTTTTGTGTATGCTGTTTTCTACACGTTACAAGCCTTGTTTAAATGCGCTAATATTATTATGAATTTTTTTTTCCTGTAAATAGCAAATAGGTTATAATTAATATATTTAAAATAATTTGAAATATGTACATGAATGCCCAAAAGAAGATGTCCTAAAATATACATAGCGTGGAGCGAGGGTTTAACCACGCTTGATAATTGTTTGGGGAAACACAGCAGTGGGGGGCGGGGGGGGGGGTGCGGGTGCCGACTCAAGGTTCCAGCGCCTATCGTTATTAAACAAAAATTTATGCATGCGTAGCGTAAATATAATTTATTATACATGAGGAAATGCTAGATAAGATACACAGATTTCGTTAATGACACAGATTATGATAGACAAATAGATTTATTAGTACCTCGGACATTGATCGATAAATGGAATAATACAATGAGACTATGATAGATAGATAAACTAGCTTAGTAATACCACAGATATGATAGACAGATAGATTTATTCAGTACCTTCGACACGATCGAATAAATGTAGTAATACATGAGACATGATAGATAGAAAAATAGAATTTATGAACACATACCGAACATGATAGGTAAGTTGAAATCTGCATTGGACGTCTGGCCGTCAGATGGAAAAGACCTATCGGAGGATGAGCTGGACTCCCTCACAGACACTCTGATCCAGGCCCAGGCTGAAAACCGTGAGAAAAAGAATCAAACACCCTCAGCACAAACGATGAGGAAAAAGAACAAAGGCAACAAAAATTCACGTCAAAGACATCATTCCCCAAACACTGACGGACTGTCAAAGGTAGGGTGCTCATATAATACTAGTACTTCTTTGTTTCGTGTTGAGCTGCATGCAGTGGCCATCTTGAATGGGGCAGGGGTGGCATCGAGAAAACAAGTGGGACAAGTTGGAGAGGGAGTGGCGCAGATGAAGTGGGTGTATGTGTGTGTGGGGGGGGGGAGGGGGTGGGTTAATTAAGGCTCCTTATAATTGTAGTTGTAGTGGTGGCTATGTCTGTAGTGGTGGTGGCTGTGGCTGTAGTAGTGGTTGTGGCTGTAGTGGTGGTTGTGGCTGTAGTGGTGGTCGTGGCTGTAGTGGTTGTGGCTGTAGTGGTAATCGTGGCTGTAGTGGTAGTTGTGGCTGTAGTGGTTTTTGAAAACAGACCAGTCTTTTCAGATTTGAACCCACCACCTTCGGATATTCGAAATCTATATAAATAAATACTTAAAACTAGAACATGTTTAGGACGATCATTTAACCCTTTTGCAAAGTTTTGGGTGGAAGGGGAAGGAGCTGATACGGAGAGCTCAGCCAGTATAAATATTATTGTCTTCATAAATTTATGTTAATTACAGTGAAAGAAAAAAGAGTCAGCCAGTTAGTTAGTTAGTTAGCTGGTTAGTTAGTTGGTTGGCTAGTTAGTTAGTTGGTTAGTTGGTTGGTTAGTTAGCTGGTTGGTTAGTTAGTTAGTTAGCTAGTTAGTTACTTAGTTAGTTATCTAGTTAGTTAGTTACTTAGTTAGTTATTGAGTTAGTTAGTTAGTTAGTTAGTTAATCGACAAATTATCCTCATTACACATTTGACTAGTCCATAAGTGCTCGGGCCCCATGTTCAGTATGTCCCTCAGCGTGTGTCGACTGATAACATGAGTTCTGTGTTGGTCTACTGTTCTTCTTTGCCTACCTGTATAGTGTTCGTGTCTGGCAACGCCTCTTTTGACATGAAGTTCTTGTAGTCTGTTGACTATTGTGGATTCAGCGGTTGTCTCAAATAATATTTTTTAAAGGGGGGATGGGGGTGGGGAAAGGGGGGGGGGGGGGTCATCATTGTGACCTATGAAAACCGTAAACTGATATGAGAAATTAGACAGTCTGTATTGTTCGACATGTTATGAGAAGAAATGGGCACAGGAAATGGTCAAGGTTGGTGCACAGAGAGCAAGGGGAAGGTGAAGAGAGTTTCTTATCTGGATGTTTTAGCCATATGAATGGGACCAGAGGAAAACACAGACCTGATCCTTGATTCTGGTGTTAGTATGAGATGACGAAACATGACAGTCTAGCCTTAATGGCACAGCTCATGATGATGTTGGAATGCGGATTCAAATCTATTTCCACTGGGAGTACGGGCACATAATGAACATTAATCGTAGTAGTAACTTTTTGAAAATATCCTTTTTCTCAGAGTGTATATATATATATATATATACATATACATTTATTATTTTATTTTAATGTATTATGTAATTATTTATAAGACCAATATGTAATTTGTGTTGGTCCACATTTTGCTTTGATTTGGGTTGTGATCATGATAGAAATTGTACCATGAATAATTAGACAATTTTACTAACATTGTGTCATTAACATGGTGAATATATTGTTTCCTTATTGTCTGACATTATTGGTTGTGGTCCTGTCTTTCTTTCTCTTTGTCTCTCTCTTCCACTCTTCTCTCTCTCCCTCCCTCTCTATCTCTCTTCCATTGCCACACTATTATACACATGCTCTCCACCAACAGGTAGATGCATTTCAACCTACCCTGGGTGGCAGTACGAAAGCAGATGGTCACAGCTCACACCCGACACAAGGCAAGGAGGCAATAGATAACAGTGAGTTACCACCTTCTCGTTCAGTCAAGGCTTTTTTCCCCTGGTGGTCATCATCATCATCACGTGCCCTGCCGACTGGCGTAGGTGTTCATTCATCTGCACAGATTTTGGTCCCTTTTCCTCTGGATCAATTCCACAGATGATATCCCTCCATGCCACCATCACTGACCATCCATCATTGTCTTCCTCTCCCTCTTCTACCATTGATCTTCACAGTTGTCACAATATTATCTGAAGCCTTACTCCTCAACACATAACCAAAGAATAGTGCTTGTCTTTTCCTTATAGCTATATATATTGATTTAATTTCATTAGCTTCCTTCAAGCAATCCTCATTAGTTACTCTGGCAGTCCAAAGGATTCTTAACATTTGTCTGAAAAATCACATCTCTGTTGCCTCCAAGTTCTTTCTAATTTGTGCATTCACATTCCATGATTCACTACCATACAGCCGTATAGGTTCTACATAAATTTGTGGTACTCTTTTTCAGACATCCAAAGAGAAGGACCTGTCGCACAAGATGTTCTTCATTTTGTGAAATACAGCCTTAGCCTGGCCTATTCTGCTCCTTATTACTGACACACTTCTTACATGTGATGTTATGATTGTGACCCAAATATTTGAATTTAAATACGGATATTTTTTTTTTTTTTTACTTTTTATTATAATATCCTTTTGGTGGCAGGCATCATATTTGTTTTTCTCAGGGCCACTGAAATAGACCCTTTGAAGTCAGTTTTAAACAAAGCTCATATACTATTTTCTAATATAATTTAAGCTATAAATTTAGCTCAAATGATCAGGTAGAACTTTCACAAGTATTATGTTGTCAATTTCAGATGTTAGCAGCAAAAGAAGCCAGAGTAATTCACCTGAACAATTTGCAAGCCTACCCGTTGTCTCAGACATGGAGTTCCACTTGCAGGAGAGAAAGAAGGTAGACAGACAGACAGACAGACAGACAGACAGACAGACAGACAGACAGACAGACAGACAGACAGACAGACAGACAGACAGACAGACTAGACAGACAGACGATAGATGGATGGATGGAGACAGACAGGATGGATGGAGACAGATGGATGGACAGACATGGACAGGATGGATGGACAGACAGACAGACAGACAGACAGACAGACAGATAGTTGGATGGATGGATGGATGGAAAGAAAGACAGAAAGAAAGAAAGAAATAATGAAAGAAAGAAATAAAGAAAGACAGACAGACAGACAGACAGACAGAAAGGAAGAAAGACAAAAAAGAAAGAAAGACAGACAGAACGATTGCGCAATGAAAACTTGGCATGGTCCGAGGATTGATATGCATCTATTTACCATGTATGTTCCTGACAAATGTGTCTTTAAATTTGTATGCTTTAGCAATAGTTACAATTTTTCTATGATATTTCACCTGCAGAAAATCATTGTAGTTTTCCTGTCTTGCTTTCAAACCCACTGGTTAAGGTGTTCCAGCTCACCGTTGAGTTTAGACGTATAACTGCAGACTCCAGCATGGTGCAGTGTGAATCACGTTATGTTGAGGAAAGAGTTCAATGCCTACCTTTCATAATTTCTTCTTTTTCTTCTTCTTCCTCCTCTTCCTCTTCTTCTTCTTCTTCTTCTTCTTCCAAACTTCTCTTGCTCTTATCAATCTTCTCGTCTTTTTTTCTTCTTTCTTACCCTTCTCCCCATTTTCATAATCCTTGTCGACTGTGTACCAACTTTATGCACCAAGAAGTAGTCAAGTCATCTTTTTGCAGCGTACGCCAAGTCTCTACATTCCTAGGTAAAGAATGTGTACATGTTCCCAACTAGCCCAAGACTTTGCCTTAAAGGACCCTGTTCTGTAAGCTTTCATGATTTATAATATAATTAAAATTAAAACATCTTTACACCCCCCCCCCCCAACACACACACACATATGCTCGCACGCACATGCATGCACCACACACACACACACACACACACACACACACACAACACACACACCACCATCATCATTATCGTCATTGTTGTTCAGTTTATTAACTTAAAGTATGTTGCAACTGGCACCAACCCTATGGAAACTCTTTGTTGGCTTCTGATTGCAATGAAAACTCCAATTCTTGAATAAATGTTTGATTAATTAACTCAAAAAAATGAATACATAAATTGCTTATTTATTATGTTGTTTCTCAACAGTCTTTGCATGGTGGATCAATCACCCCAGACCCCGACAGTCAGATCTGGCCAGTAAGTTGCTTAGTCAAATAGGATATAAAATCAGAGAAGTGGGGACATTCTTAAAAAAGCTAGGATTCTGTTATTTCTCTTTTATTTTCGCCTTCCTAAAGTCCATGCCATGTGGTGTTGGTAATCATGCGTATCCACAACCTTCTTTCCCGTTAACTTTCAATCTTTTCTGACACATTTGGTCTTCCATGCCATGATGTCAAACTGCCAACCTTTTCCCTCTCCTTCTACTTCTTCTCCCCTTTTAGCTTTCCCACCATCACGATGTACTCTTGTTTTCTAATGATTATAACCAGTGAATGTAGACTGTCTTTGTCTGATGTGGACCATCAGTTCTTTCATCATCAGCAACTTCCACTTCTGCCGTTGAGCAAGGGAGGAACAGTTTGCCATCAATTGCTTGATGGGTATCTTTGGCTATTGTCATTCCGTGTTGATGTAGAAGCTCTTTAATGTCATCAATTCATATTCTCCTAGGGTAGCCTCTTGGTTTCATTTCAGAGCTTTTCATGTGTAGCGCCTGTATGGTGTTGTTCCTACAGTCTGTTTGATGATATAATTTCTAACTTTGTCTTAGATGGTTAAGTTGGCAGTTCTTTTGTGTGTTAATTCTTTCAAGATATCTTAACCACTATTTTTATCAGTCCACCGTGTTCTCATTATTCTCACAACTCTGCTGCTTTCGCATAAATTCTTGCTGTCCCAGATTTACTTCCGTATATGAGGATTGACTTTATATAGGTTTTCTTCTTCTTCTTCTTCTTTCTTTCACTAGCTGTAAACTTTGGTGGAAAGTTCTTGTTGTTCATCCACTTCTGGACTGCAGTCCTGTTCCAGATCTTAGTGTGCATGCACATCCATTTTACACATCTGACTCATTTGTATGCAGGCTGTTGGTTCCTTACCTCTCCCAATAAGTTGACTCTTACAACATGCTTTTGAGTAGGCAGTGGGACTATTCTTGTTTATTCCATAAAAGGGTCCCAGAACCCACACAGAAAATATAGGTTTTAAGAACTCTTTTCTCACCTCAATTGACAAAGATATATTGCTTAGAATATTCCTCATCCTGTAAAACGCAACGTCTGCCTGAGCTATTCTTTATTTAATTCTTTAATACATCTTCCATCAACCTATTGATTTGTTTCAGACTTGTCCCATTTTACTTTGAAGTTGCATTTGGGGCGGAGGGTTATATTTTGTCTTTGTTCATATGTATCAGATTAGACTTTATATACCGTAATCTCATAACTCATCTAGGAAGATAGAAAACCCACATGTCTGCAGTATGTTAAATATGAGGCAGCCTATACCAAAATGACATATTTTTGTGGCATTAATGCTCCCTAACTAATAAGAAAATGTAAAGTTGTAAGATCTCATCATTACCATGAAGGATATCGTTTGCTGAGCGTTCCTTATTTCACAGCCTACAAAACAGTTAAGCTCTGGTTGATTACCATAATGAATTATATTGTCTGTTTAATTACCACAATGAATTATTAAAAAAGTAAAGTAAAGGACCCTCTTCCACGCCTTTAGGCGTATGGGGCATATAGGGCTAGACCTATATTTTATAGACCAATCGGCACAAGATGGGTGATGTGGTCAGCATAATGCTGGCTGCCTTTACTTCCCAGGACTGCACCCGGTACCCACTCAAGGCTGGATCAACCTGGGAGCCATTTTTGAAAAAAGTCCGGCTCCGCCAGGGAGTGAACCCACGACGTTCTGATCCACGGCTAGCGTCTAGCCACTCCGCCGCGGCGACTCCCTCAATGAATTATACTCGAATAAAATAAAGTGTTAGTTTCCTGTTTCCTTCCACTTCCACATCACTTCTAACTATACTTGAGCATCTTGTAATCCCCTAAGTTGCCAGAGAAGTGAAGACCCTCCCTACTTTATGGTGCACTCATTATCGCAAAAAGGAACCCAGAGGCCTTCCTGACATTTGCTAGTTCAGTCACCTTCAACTTAAGATTCAATGTGGACATGACTGATTTCTTGCTTGAGTTCCTCCCATACGACCGTGTCACTTCCAACAAAATGGCAGGTCATCTTCTGAGAGCACTGACCAGGGATCTCCATGAGTGGAGTACTCATGAACCAAATGACGAATTCCCAGAATCAAACTCAGGTCTCCTGCATGAAAGCCCAGCGTTCATATCCATTGACCAGCTGCACCTCACGTGGACAAAAGCTTACACACAGATTGGCTTGAAACAGAAAGAGTTAATGAATATTTGTCTTCTTATATTTTCCTCCCTATTATTTGGCAAACGAACCACATTTATCTGTATGTGTATTCATTCCTATCCTGACAGATTTTTGAGCCTAAATCAGATCCTCTAGGGTTAACCTTGATCGGTGACCTGGCTGAGTGTGACATGAACAAAATCAAAGCCCTGGCTCATATTGAGCTGACCACTCTGTTTGACCATTACGACATTGTCTACACAAGGCCAAAACGTAAACGGAAGACGAAAGGTAAGTCTCGGAGAACTAGCTCTTTCTGTATCCCTATCCAGGTTGATGGACACTGGGGAAGCAAACTGGAGTTGCAAGAAATCAATATTTCACCAAGGACACAAGACTTCATTAGTCAGCTCAGAACAGGCCTCATCAGTCATTTAACGCTTGTGTCGGAGGAGGAGATCGAAGCACCTATGGATCTGCCCGGAGTGCTGTGATGATAATCTTCACCAATTTTTTTCACCTCAGCACTGCCACATGCTTGACTATTTCTGTTGTTACCAGTGCAATAGGCATGACTGGCTATTCATTTTGTGTTACAACTTACTTTGCACGTCTGATAGTTTTTCTTATATTTCTGAGCATGCACAAGAAATGCAACAGCTTATGTGGGGTTTACAAGATGTGGAGATACGACCCATGTAAAAGTCATACACTTATGATTTTGTTACATTTTTAACAAAGAGGACACAAAAACAAAAACAAAATACTGATTTTACAATTCTTTGCCAATTTTGTAAGTTGTGTCCTGGCCCTTCCATCAGCACTCCAGAAAACTGCAGTTGTCCCGTTTTATACAAATCTAGGAATATGCTCGAGGACAGAACATACACATATAGAGATATGTGTAGACCTTAATAGTTTTAGATACTAATAATAATAATAATAATAATAATAATAATAATAATAATAATTATATCAATGAAAATTAATTGTTTTTAGGGTGAGGGTGAAGTGTGTTTACACTGACTTGCTTGGAGTGTGTTCCATTTTCAGCTCAAGATATTATGGTTGCCCCAATTTTGCATGACAGTTTTTGGTTTGCATTATGACTGCTCGTGGGATTAATAGGGAATTTTTGTTATAGAATTGTTGCCAACTTTTAAAATACAGTTCAGGCCTTATAAGGATAACTTGCGGGAACCCAAGAAATTGTTCTTCTTATCTGAAATTCCTCTTAACTAGATAAGAGTTCAAGCAAGAAAATGGCGGGGGACGCACAAATTGTTTTTCACAACAGAAATTTACCACAACCGAGATTGCTTTTCAGCACTCTGCATTGCATTTATTCTGTAAAAATTCCTGGCTACTTCCAACCAGCAAAAGTGAAACAGCTGCAACTTTTTGTCTTCTTCTTCAACATTCCGAGCCCTTGAGGTTCATTGCTGCAGATATTTCCCACCTCCATTTATCTTCCTGGCTGGTCTAATCTTTCCAGTTGTTAACACCAAGTGTTTGCAGGTCTGTCTGAACATTATCTCTCCTATCGTCTTCTTGGTCTGCCTCGTGGTCTACAACAATTCATCTCCCTTGTGTATACAGTTTTTACCTCTCTTTCATCTGACATTGTCTCAATATGTCTTGGCCATTTCAGTCATTTAGATATCATGATGCCAGCGATCAATGTTGATTTAAAAAGATTATGAATTTCATTGTTTCTTCTCACTCTCCATTCCCCGCTGTTTGCATCTTTGATGGATCTGACCGACTGATGTTTTACCCCACCAGGACATCACACAAAGTGATAAACATCTGATGACACAAAGTGCCACCATTCGGATGAGGATCACCCGTAGAGAGGTCCCAGAAACCCCGCTCAGCGGATAGGTTGGGTTATGTTAGGGCCCTTGGCAACAGCCAGGGTGGGTCTTCAAAATAAAAATAATTGCATCCCAAATAGGGACGAATGATAGTTGAGAAAAAAAATTACAAAGATGTCTGGCAGCTTTGTATTTTTTAAAATTTGTAGTAAGGCTTCACTCATTTAGTTGTGCTCCAAGTTTCAGAGCCACATAAAACAACTAGTCTTATCAACGTTTTATAAATTTTGATGTTGGCGTTGTGAGAAGGAGACTTTTTTTTAAACACTGAGAAGCATAATGTGCAAAAACACGGAGACATTTCAAAATGCTTGTTCAAATAATTTTGAAGCTCAAGTGTAAATATTGGAATTTAATTATAAACACATGATTGTGTCCCTTGAGAATACATGAACAGAATTGGGATAGCTTTTTTAAGACATGAATTTAATTATGTAAATAGAATTTTATTTGAACAGTTAACAAGCCCAACAAATATGATTCTGTTTGTTGAAACTCGAGTTCATTTGTGTGTAAAAAGGGGACATCATGCAAACCAGATTAATGTGATTATTGACATGGGGAGTGTTAAATGGTTTCATTGTTAACACACCATCTGTGGTCCACACGTGAATGTGCAAAGAGTCAAAATTAGATTTGCACATCCTTAGGATTTGCTTCTGTTTGATTCTCATCCATGAAGTGTTAAACCCATCAACAGCAATCCTAGTAGGGTTCCAATTGCAATGTTCATACACTGCATTAATGTTGAACAGTTACTCCAAGGTTGTATGCATATTAGCAGACAGAAAACATCCTGCAGTTCACATCAAAACAATTAGTCACCACATACACATACACATGTGCACAAACAAACAAACACACATTGGAGCACACACAAGCATGCGCACACACACAATTTATTAACACAAAAACTACGGTCAACAAAATTCTGTTTCCCGTACATTTCCAGAAAAGATTTTCACTCGTTTGCTCTATGGAGTATGGGTAATCTCATGAAAGGTTCAGCAATATTGTTTTACTAGCACAAACAATATCATTAGGTGGAGTTTGAGTTTAAAACCCTTCACTTACTTAGTTATTTAGTTGATGTTCTAACTGTGCCACTCCAGAACTGCTCTGATCTCGTACCAGTGGAAATCAAACAAAATACCCCTCACTGTCCCATTTGAAATTAGTTTAAAACATGTCAGACCCTGCAGACTGTTGAAGTTTGCACACGCAAACTAACAATGCAAATGGCAACTGTTAGATATGCCAACACTAATGGTTCTACACCAGAACCGTAGGTACTTTTGCAGTCAAACCCAAAAGCTGTAATAATTTGAGTTCAGTGTTCTTACCATCTTCATCTCCAACATCTTTATCAAGTTGGTCAGTCTGAAGAGTAGTGTTAAAGACACTTGAACATATTACTGTACTAAACTAACCCCTCTTCTTAGCAATTCTCTGCAACCCAGTGTCATCAAACTTATGAAAATCCATGTTGGGGATATTGAAAAAACAAACACAAAAAAACATGGTACCAGTCAATATTCTGGGAAGTAAAGTGACCAGCTAGATGTTGACAGGCTCCACTAAGTGCCAGTTGTCTACAAAAATATGTGATGTTGAAAATAGTATTATATACATGGTTAACACCCACCTCTGCCCCTACAATTGAAGAGGTCCTTTTCTTTTTTTTCTTCTTCTTCTTCTTCTTCTTCTTCTTCTGCTGCTGCTGCTGCTGCTTCTTCTTCTTCTTCTTCTTCTTCTTCTTCTTCTTCTTCTTCTTCTTCTTCTTCTTCTTCTTCTTCTTCTTCTTCTTCTGCTGACGTTGTTTCTTCTTCTTTTGCTGCTGCTTTTTCATGTTTTTCTTATACGTCTCATCATGTCCTTTATTTCCGCCGCCAGTGGAGCAAAAGCCTCTCAACTAACTCGCGTCAAGTCATTGTATCCTTTGATTATGTCTGTAGATCATTTCATATCCTTCCTATCTTTTAAAATTCCTTCTCCTGGGAAAGCTAACCCAGCAGAAAATGCCTGGAGAAGGTGGATGTGATGGCCGAAAGGTGCAAATATGGACCAAAGAATGTAGATTGTCTCTTTCTGATGTGGGCAAAATGTAGATTGTCTCTTTCTGATGTGGGCAATCAGTTCTTTTCATTAATCAGTTTCTTTCAAGACATCTTCTTTGCTCTTTTTAACTGTTTAGGGTATTCTCATCACTCGTCTATAAAACCGCATCTTCTTACTTGATAATGGGAGAATACAAAATCACTGTGAAAATTTCTTCTCATAACAAAGTACAGCATGTGCATGTATGTTTAATTGCGTCTCATTTTTATTTTTTAAGAACATGGAATATTTGGAGTCCCGTTGGAGATAATGGTAGAACATGACCAGAAGAGAAGTCCGGGTGCAACAGTCCCTATCGTCTTTCAGGCAGTAAGTAAGCAAACTTCATGGATCTGTACCTTTAGTTTCTTAAGATCATAACCAGACAACCATGAGGAATAAAGAAATTCTTAAAGAGATTAGTTTTTAGGATATATAATTATATATATATATATTCAAAAAAGTTTGGACTGCGTCTATTGTGTGTGTATTCCCATATTTATTGGTGTATAATGTGCGGTTTATTTAATCTCAGAATAGGCCTTGAAATTAGGCTGCATCTTTACATCAAAAGCAAGCCTAATTTTCTGCACCACTCTTCATTTTGGTCAGCCCCTGCCCCTCCTTCCTGGTACCATTTTTTTTTTCTCAAGTCCACCATGGCACATGATCTGAACAAAATATTTCAGCTTCTGAGACAAGATGCTGTATATTAGCCAATCTTCCTTGATGTTCAGATTTTTTAAAATGTCAACATCCCTGCGGAGCCACCTAATTCTTTGTAGGTGGTAGCAGTTCACTTTATCACTACAGAGAGGTGTTCATCACCTCTTTTGTTTTTGCTTCAACATGTCTCAGAGGGAGAGGGGGGGGTGAGGAATAGGGAGGGAGGGAGAGAGACAGAGACAAGCAGAGAAATGAGATCATCACATGATACTAAAATTTGATTTATTATGAATTCCCAAATGCTCAATGCATTATTGCATCACTATTTCTTTGTGTTACTTATTGCGTCAGTCAATATTTTCGGTTAGTAGTTACAGCTGCAAGTTAGACTTGAGTGTTTTAATGGTACTGTGCCAATAGTTCATAAGTCTGTCTACATGATCACAGTTCCGAGATGAAAAACAAGATAGCAAGCTAGCATCCTTTGACATCAGTTTTAAACTCCAGGTGATAAAATATACTGAAAAAAACACAGCAGAATTTCATTTGGGACGTCCACCAACCAGAAAAAGAGAACCCATTAGACTTTTTAAAAACCAGATTAACATAGGAATGCTCATATTTTTCTTTGAATTTGAGTTTTTGTTCAGGGTGTGTGTGTCTTATGCACCAACACATATTGTCTGTCTTCTTCTGCTTATTTTGTCGTCTCACTATTACCAGGTTTTAGCCTAGTGTTGTGGTTTTCTGAATTTTTCTTGCGCTTCTCGGTGGCTTGAGTGATGGATTTGTTCAACTTTTTTGTCCATCTCTTTGTTGGTCTTCCTCTCGCCTTCCTCAAATATCTTCTACCGTAAAAAGTCTCAAATACAGTTTGGTCTGGCTGCAATCATTTGCTGTTTTGTTGGAGGGGAGACATTTGAGTGACTAAGCAGTGGGGTTAACTAGGAGGTGACAGCATTTGCCCTCTGTACCCTGGATTCTATCTCTCTTTCGAGTCTGCCATCCTCTGTATATATGCTTCCTAGATATGCCTAGATATCCTTAGATATGCTTCCTAGATATCGTATACCAGTTATTGATATCATTGTTTTCTGTTATGGATAAATATATTTTTCAGAAATTGTATTTTATATTATAGATGATAAACTTTCTAGAGAAAGAAGGTCTCTATACTGAAGGACTTATGAGAGTTTCAAGGGCAGAAAGTAGGACAAAGGTAAGGGTAGTTACTCTGATTGCAGTTTTAAATGTGGGAGCTTCTAGCAAAATTGTTCACTATTTTTTTATTCTTTCTGTCTCATTTCTGTACTAGAATTTTGTTTATAAGAATACATACAGGATGTTCGTAAAGTCAGGTGCACTTTTGTCGTCACAGGTGCACCATAACTTTACAGACATCCTCTCATAATAAATCTCTTAGCTTTGTATTCACTTATTATTAGGGCTGTACCAAATATTCGCTTTGTATTCGCTTCGGGGCCGAATAGTGGACTTAATAACTATTCAGTATTCGACCAAATACTTGCGGTCAGGCTGAATACGAATAGTGGTTACCATACACCCATTTTGCGTACACTGCGATGGACTGAAATGACTCTCTCATTAACACAATAGTTGCTGTTGTCTAAGTCTGTCGTAACAGAGGAAACTGCGACCCGGTTGCATCGTACAGCAGCTGGCAAGGTCTTTGCCTGCTGACTCGACCGAGGCATTACAGCAGAGGTTTTCAAACTGGGTGCATATGCCAGGTGTGCCGCGGCGAAAATCAAGGAAAGTCAGCTATAATTTGTAACATTATTAAAGAAGGCATGAAGATACTTAAAAGTTAAAATTTAAATTGTCTTTCCTCGCCAGAGTCCTAAAGAGTTTTTTCCTTGTTTCACACTTAAAGTGTATCATACTGCATAAAATGCCAACTGCAGCATGCTAAAAATTGTCATTGTATTTATCTCGAGGTGCGACTGATCCTCCATCTGTATTCGTTAAGGTGCAGCGGATAAGAAAGGTTGTGATTACATTTTGGCTCAAATTTTTAAGTGAAAATGAAGTCTGTACAATAGTCACTGTTAGCCTCGTCAAGTATGCACTTATATTTAAAGGCAATGCGTTGTAAGTCCTGGACAATCGGTAGGCAGGCCAAACAATTTCTTGAGGCCCGAGAGATGGGGTTTTACACAACAATGCTCAAAATACCTTGGACAGCCAAAAAAAGGAACAAAGAGGTTTTAAAAGTTGCGGGAGCTCGAAGACAACTAATCATAGACATCAGAAGGAGACAGTCATCCTTTTTTGGCCATGTTATGAGAAGAGGGAAAATGGAACATGTGGTGACCACTAGAAAGATCTGTGGAAGAAGGGATAGAGGAAGACAACAAGAAAAGATTCTTGACTGGTTGCATTGCAGGGAGATGTTTCAGCACACGAACTAATACATGCTGCAGGAGATCGCAGATGGTGGCGAGGCATATTCGCTTACGCCAGTCGGCAAGGCACCTGATGATGATGATACACTATTCGTACTCGTATTAGGCCGAATAGTTGGTCCCGCTATTCGTATTTGGCCCTACTTATTATAAACTATGTTGTTCTCAGTTGGGACTTATTGAAATTTTTCATTTTATTTTAATGAAAGATGCTACTGTTTCTTCTTTGTTAAGTATTTCAATGCCCCAGCTTTGGGGCAATTTACGATATTAAGGAGGACAACAGAAGAACAACAAGAACTCAAAAAAAGGAGGTAGAAGAAGCAGATTAAAAAAAACAGCAGGAGAAGGAGAATTGTTTCATTTACTTTATTTGTTTAATGTGTGTAAGTTTTCAGTATGTAGTAATTAATATTTTTGTTTTCTTTATGTTTTATCAGTATTTAGTAACTCACTTCATTAACAGTTTAATCTAAGATGCCAGACTGAGTATTTTATATGTTGTTTTGTTTCATGTTGTCGCCATAGCAACTCCGTCAAGATCTGGAGGAGAAGTTCTATCAGGGTCTGTTCTCATGGGGCAGCGCTGGTCCCCATGATGTTGCTGTTGTGTTTAAACAGTTTCTCCGAGAACTTCCTGTACCTCTTCTATCTTACAATTACCTCGATGCATTTCACCAGATTAGCAGTAAGTGATTTGATTACAGTGAAATGAAAATTATATATTTTTTTAAAGTAAGTCAGTTCTAATAGTTGTACTATGGTGTGTAGACAGTTATTGTTTTTTTTGGATATGTCATGTAAAGGAGTGGACTTGAGAACTTGGTAACAACTGGCAAAATTGACGCAAAGAGAGCAAGAGGAAGACAAAGCAATGAAAACCTGAGTGGCTTAATAATACAGATAAGGACAGGACAAGAACACTGACATGATCTGTGAGTCTGATTATTGTGTGAAATGTGACAGCCAATCGCTTGTCGGCACAGCAGGTTATGATAATAATGATATGAAATAGTGATTGCTTGTAACGATCAGCTCTGACAATGTTAATGTAGGGTTTAAATATTGAATAATTATACCTCTAGCAATGTAGTCAAGTGTATATTGTAGAAAAACACACTAACCACAAGATCATTTATAGTAGTTAATCTTCTTTTTGCATTCTTGGCTTTGATTATTTATTAGCTCTTTATATTTCATTTGTTTTAGGTACTCTCTGAAGTCAATTGCAGTAAGAAAAAGAGAGTTAAATTTTATATAGAACCCTTCTTGTTACATGCATGTGAGACATGGATGCTATGCAGAAAAGCTGAAAAACACTTATCAATTATTTTGATAACATATCTTTGCAGATATTCCTAAGATTTTGGAACAAGTCAAAGCTCTAAATTTGTTGATTCTCTTGTTGGCCAAGGAGCACAGAAACACACTCAAAGTAAGTGCAGAATTGATAGAATTTTTTTTTTTCCTATTGCATTTTGTGCAGAATTCTACCCTGTATTTGATTAACTTCACTACTTCCCCTTCTTATTATCCAGTTCTGTTGTTTTTCCACGTCTGGTTTTGAAGAGACATCGAGTGCATGCATTGGTGTGTGCTAGATACACACACACACACACACACACACACGCAAGGTTAGTTGTGTATCCTTTGCAGGATGTTGCAGAACCAACCCCATAGTTTTTTTTTGTGGCTTTTATGGTTATTGTAAGCAAATGTTACGTTAATTAGTTTGCCTTTGCTCCTAGACGGTCAGCTCTCAGTACCACTTTTAAAACCAATGCAAGACAAGCCGTCTGCAGCTGGAATCAAACACAGCCACCTGGGCATTATGAAGCGTATTCACAACGCCTAAGCCACAGATGCTGACATGTGCTGGTATTTACGGCCTCAGAAATTCCATCTTTCCATAGCTTAACGACTGCACAACTAAATTAATTGAAAGAAGTTAGGTTAGGGCACAATGAACAGTGCAATGTAGATCAGAAGTGCTCATTCACTGAAAACATTACGTGCCTTGTCTCCCTTATAATTGTCCAGGAGTTGACAGAGTGTGAGAGTGATTCAGTGAGACACAGGCCTTGTTTAAGTGTGCTATAATAATACTATTAATAATTATGTTCTGAGTGGCAAATAAATAAAATAAATACATTTGAAATAATATTTGATGAAAAGGGGCTCCAGATGCCTGATTGCCCAAATTCTAGTCCCTGTTGTAGATGTTCCAAAGAGGCAGTAAATACATTTTGACCCCATTTTGAGAAGACAGAACACTTGAAAAGATTTGTTCACTCAATGCCATTTGACAGTTCATTAGATTATGATGACGGTTAAATTTTGTAGGTGTGATGTCTTTATATATATGCAAACATGACCTTAAGGATAGCTTCATTGACACAGACACTTGGGAGAGATAAGTTGCAGAGTGACATTATCTCTTGAGTAATTGAGGACGTCTAAAAGAAACCCTAAGATAAAGTTTATGAGTGAGGCTAAAGATGCTGGTCTGGGTTTCGTTCATGATATAAAAGAGATTGCACATCATAATCATCATCAGGTGCCTTGCTGACTGGCGTGGGCCATCATGCCTCTCCACAATCTGCGATCTCTTTTTGGCTGTCCAAGGTATTCTAAGCATTCTTCTGTAAAACCACATCTCTGAGGCCTCAAGAAATTGTTTGGCCTGCCTACCGATTGTCCAGGATTCACAGCCATATGTTAAAACTGGATGTATGTAGCAAGCAAGACTACTTTTTCTAACTCTCAATGACAAGGATATATTGCACAAGATGTTCTTCATTTTATAAAATGCAATTTTTGCATGTCCTATTCTATTTCTTATCTCAGTAATGTATCTTCTATCTGATGTTATCCATGATTGCACATCAGGATGATGGTAATAAAGAATGCCTTGAGAGATAAATGGTAGTGTATTTAAACAAATTAAAACTGTCAAATGTTTTAGATACTTGACCCTACTATGTGGCAAAGAATATTGACAAGCAATTAGAAAGGCTAATTTTGGCTACAGAGGTGTGATTATACAAAAGAATATGGTGAAAGAATAGAATACTATAAATTCTCACGTACAATGTGCAGCATGCTTGATGTTTGTCCTTACAAAACTATAGTGGAATTATGTGCAGGTACTAATAAATAGCTATTGTAAAGCAGCTAGATGCTTACCTGCAGATCCAAAAGGTCATAGGCTCAGATCTACATAGAGCTGGATTTTTTCAAACATGACCTTAGCTCCCAGGTCGACCCAGCCTTTAATAAGTACCATGAAAGTACTGTGAAGTAAAGGTAGCCAGTGTAATGTTAATCAAATCACCCATCAATCAATCTATGAAAATATGAGTCTAGCCTTATATCTCAATGCTGCACTGGTGTTTGAAGGTAATTTTACTTAACTTAAGAGTTAAATGCAAAAATATTTTACCAGAAACGTCGATTAATAATCAAGCATGTGCATTTGTGGGAGCCACAATGATGTAGTGGCGAGCGCTTGCTTGCGGATCTGAGGGTTGTGGGTTTGGGTGTTGGTGGAGCCAGATTTTTTTTTTTAAATTACCCTGACTCCTAGGTCGATCCAGCCTCAAATGAGTACCAGGTACAGTCCTGGAAAGTGGCTGATCTAATGCTGACCATATCACCCACTAAATGTCAGTTGGTCTATAAAATATAGGTCTAGCCCTATTTGCCTGTAGACGTGGTAAAGGATCCTTTTATGTGCATTATTCATGAATATATACTAACAGTGAAATTGTAATGTATTTAATATTGATTTATT